AGCACATCAACATTCTTAAACTGATGTGTAAAGTTCTAAATGTTTTGATCCAGTTTATAAACTGTAAAGTTTTTGCATCTCAGCAAACTATTGCTTTAAAGAAAAATCAGTCTTATAGTTTGYGCACCAGCTCTTTTAATACATCATTTCATGGGACAATAGACCAAGTGCCAATAACCCTTTAAAAGCAAGTCCATTTTACTGTTATACCCAAAATTCGACCCAAAGTGATTGAAACATTGTTCCAACATAAAACAATTCAATACAAACATTGAGAAGATACAAACTATTGCAAACTATTATTATAATTGATCTTTTCAAATTTCGGGTATTAACCAGCTTCATAGCCTGCTATTTCATTTTAAGTTTCATGCCTACCAGAAGCTTCCACAGTTGATCCTGACTAGAAAAAAGCCAATTTTACATTTAAATTAYGAATACACACTAAGTATTCCACACATAAATTGACCATTAATTCACATGTTGTCTCGAAAATCGACTGTGAAAGCCCTGTTYTATTCCCTTTGATGTCATTAAACCATCACACCCCCAGTTTCCCTTGTTTATTAAGYGGTTGAGTCTATTTTGTTTAATGATTGCAGCTCTGTTGTGGTCATCCATGGGATCATTAGCATTGAAAGGATCTCCTGTAGGCCAGAATGGCAAATGGTATTCTCACATTTAAAGAAACAGAATGAGATATCCAAAAACATAACTTTATTTTCTCGTAGTATTTTATAACGACACATTCAAAATACAGAGAAAGAAAATTTCCTCAATTTCCTTTTACATGTTACTCCAGATGCATGTTATTCAGAAAATCTGTCTTTGCAAGTTACAACCTTTTGTCACCCTTTCCTGAAACCTATGTAGCTCTTTTGCAGAAGAAACATGGGGGAAAATTGGGGAAACAGCTGTGTTTTGTTCTCATACACAGACATTTCTTTAAGTTGAAAACAAACAGAGTGGAGGAATTTAGCCTGTGAAATAATGGTCAAGGATAACAGTTGGATAAACTGACGTAACAGCATGAAAGGCAATATAAKCAATAACTTAGTGGTATTATATCTTCACATTAAGTAATATCTATTTCACAGGCTTGAATGTCCCCATTTTATACAATCTTGTTAACTGACATGTTACTCACTCTGCCCTGTGCACACAGCARGCAAAGTACAATGTAGTTTAGAAGAACAAGACAGTKTTTTAATTAATCCTAAGCCATGATCAATCAAAGCATTCTTGGTAGAACCATATTTTTTAATTCTRTTTCTGAGCTGCTGAAAGAAAAAGGAACAATGTCTTGGGAAAGRATCACAACCTTTAACATGATGTGTTACAGCTTTTAAATGTGCATCACAATCCTTTTTGCAATMTTTTCTTGTTTGTTTTTGGATGAATGTACTATGTTCTTTAATAAACCTCTCAATGCTATAGATTGAAATAGGAAGAGRTTGTGGCAGGCCCCAGTAATCTGAAACATTGTTATTTAAAATGCATAAGAAAAATATATATAACTAAACATTTTTTAGCTGTTGATCACTATGCCCCCCTCTTCCCAATTTTTCCTTGTCGTTGGTTTTTACTATGGTCCTATTCACCAACATAATTATAATGCATTTTGATCRGTGYCATTAATTGCYRATTAWTAGACACWACAAAGGATTTCAMAATGCTGATCATGATAATCTTATTGCTTAAGTGCTTACCGAGGTGTTCTGGTCCATCTTGGGCTTATGCAACACTGTTGGAAGACTTATAACAAAATACAACTTAAATTTGTAAAAAAAAAGGGTTATGCCATAATTCCTTGCGATTATAGAATATAATGTACATATGAATGTCATCAGGAATAATAAGAGGTGGATGAGTTATACGTGAAAATGAATGGTATATTTATATTTGATTGGTTCCYGTGTAGCACTGTGTGACCACGTGACTGCAGGAATACCAAAATAATAAGCAGAATGCCGATCACAAAATCGCGTCATAGACCTTTTCTGAAATACAAAATCATCAGTACAAAAAAACACCATATTCAATTTGGCAGCATGAACAAAAGATGTTGGTACTGAATCTAGACCACAATGCCGATGCGAACTGCTATCTCGCAAAGGGCTAAATGATAACAGGACCACAATTCAATACAGGCACTGTGCGATTGCTAGGACAATTTGAGTGGACGGGTATTCTATTAATTAGTCTAAAGTAAGAAAAAGACTGAAAAACAACAACAGTGAAATGAAATCGACAAATGTGCTATTTAATCGYAATGTTGTCAGTTTGAAAAATATTTTAAAGCAGTTTATAAAATGCAATGATGCTTACTTGTAGAGTATTGCTTTTTACAAGCCAACGCAYCCTGTATGCCGTCCAAAAACGACTATTCGTTCACGCTGTGGCTGGAGTTCTTAGCCATGAATTGGAGACTGCAAAATCTTGTCAGCGGATTGCTTGATAGATATTAACAAAGGGAGCCCAAATTTAAGTCTCTTCGCGCCATATACCATTATATTAATCATAATTTCCCATGAATTTTTAGCATATTAAAGGTCGGTTTGGAATATGTCGTGTGTTGCCCATCCTTCGCAGGGAAATCCAACACAATGATAATTTAATGATAATTTTATGCGAAAAGCCGCGTGGATACGATCACAATGAATGCACAACAAATAAACTCAAGAACACAAATCACAAACAACGTAAAGTAGATAAGAATCCCAATTCCCGAAAAGAATAGAGTTTTTTGGTGAAAACAGTTCATATGTTAGAATGTCGAATCACTAATTACTTGCATAAAATGTAATCAAAATATAACATGGTATAGGTAAATGATTGCTTTTGAAGCTGGCTAAGCCTATAATGGTTGAAAGAAGCCAAACGTGTTAATTAAAGGAATGATTTGTTTCTTATAAGCTAWAAAAGATGTCGTTACGAATCATAATTGCTAGACATCCGAGTAAGCACTCTCTGAGCGCCTATTATCGGACACGGAGGTCACGCAATTCTCAGTCATATGAGATAGTGACGGTGACCTGTGTGAGCAGTCAGTAGACCTCGAAGATTTAGTACGTTATGTCTGTACGCAGAATGCATCGTCGAGATCCTCGTGATCGTGTTGATCTAACTAATGATAGATACATTGGTACTAAAAACCATCAAATACCAACAGCAATGATCAAAGATTCCACCAGACTTGCGGAACCCATTGAACAGGGCTCTAATCGACACATGGCTATCAAGCTGTTGAAAGCAGAAAATGCAAACTTGGAGAAAATTATAATCATGCTCAAGACTGAGAACCAGAATATCCAAACTAAAATGAAAGAGCTTGAATATCAAAACGACCGCTACAAAATCACTCAGAACCAGCTGAAAACTGAGCTAAAACGAGAAAGAGACATGGTAAAGTATTTGCATGCTTTGGCCAAGAAACATGAACGAACGATACAAAAGAAAGATGCAGAATACCGACAATTAAGGCGAGAAGCGCGAGGGATTGAACGCTTTGAAAAACCTCCTGAATTTCTTGACAAAGTTGAACGACCTGATATATGTATACCTCCTCAATTACCTCCTAAACGAGAAAACCCTAACAGGAACAAATTAACGGTACAGCATATCCCTAACAATACAGACTTAGCTGTAAATCCGACTAGTCCTATGCTTAAGAAAAGACCTGAGCCGCCTAAGAGATCTGCATCATTTAATCTTCAACGCAATGGTCGTCCTTTTGTAATACCCAAAGAACGAATCACAGCAAATGCATATAATTCGGACTCGGCATTAACTGAAACATCGTCAGGTAGTTCCAGTATACCTCGATGTAGGTCATCTGACCACATTCCCTCCACTAAACCTGATGTTGATAATACAGAATGGGACGATGTCACTGATGTCTTAGGGTTTCTAAATGAAAAAGTCAACCAATTTGAAAGACTTTTGGTTGAAAGCGGAGGMTCTAACTCATCATCAGAAACCATTGAACAAGGCAAATAAAATACAATTATTGTACATATATGGGGAATGTTACAGCATATTGTTCAAGCCCTCTGATACTATCTAAAGACATTTGTCATGGTAATATGTGTAATTAAAGAGAGAAATATGGAGAATCAGACAAACATCGAAGTCGTTCATGCGTCGAATGACGCATTATGTTCTAATAATTCTATCAGTATAATACTGAAAGTGTGTCTATGGTGACATATGTATTTTCATGTACAAACATTCTATCTAACGGAATGCCAATCACTGTTTTGTATAATTTGCTTTAGTAAGATCAACAACATGGAGGTCTGTTTGAGTACTCTAAACCGTTAATCTGTTTTTCCGTATGAACCATCGCACGCTGAGCTCTCGGTACGACGTACTGGCCAACGTACATTTTCTAGATGCTAGCAATTCCATAAGCTATCCTTACCACATTTGGACAGTATTTACGTGTAATTGGTTCCGTGACTCGTAGTTCAATAAACGATAAACACTCTTTGACACTCAATACATTTGTCGTGGTGTCTGCAATAACGTGTTAATGTCTTTTTTATTCTAGCACCTCGTCAATCACCCATATAATAAACAAAATATGACCACATTATTTTACGACTTATTTTAGATTGATCGAGCATTAAGACCTCAGTAGCATGTACGAATTCTTCAATCGTGACCTGAGTGTACGATCAATTGATTTTTAAGTGACCTACTGAAGGATCTGTTATTTCAGTCTGAACGGTTTGTTAATTTATCGGCCTGACATCTGGACAAAAGAAGTTTGATAACATGAAAGAACTACTTTGTTATTTCTCCACAAATAATCCCTTCTCATTATACACGTCGACCAYCATTGCAACGTTTTGTTGCTGCAACCGCTGTGTAGTCAGTATGATCAGTATTAGGCCTTGTATCAAGAATAGTGAATCTATTATTGAGGTAATCTATGTAGCTGAGATTCGACTGGTTTAATGCGTCTTTTTGTGCAAAGGTATAGTTGATGGTTGCTATGTCTATGTTGTATTTCAATGACAATGAGTTAGCATTCACTTGACGGACTTATGTCATTAATTAGTTTGAGTAGGATTTAGGGCCTTGCTAGATTAGATTATATGCTTCACATGCTAAGTACAAACACCAATTGTGGTCACAAATCCTTCTTAGACCATTTTCTTTTGAAAAAGTCTCAGCAATTAAATGTCATACAACAATCACACAGTACCCCCTAAATCGACAATAGCTTCTGACTCACTGCTATATATAATTGAAGTAATGTCTTGCGATTTGAAGACAACATTTTTCAACTCTACGTACTGTTTCCATATGTAAAGGATAAAGTTTATGTTCATGGGAGTCCCCTCGGGCATAGAGTTGTTAACTGTTGATAACTTTCATCCAAGGTGTTGAGATTTCTTCTTTCTGATSGTCGATTTATGATGATTACATTTGTTAAGTCAGTAATTGCTCAATAGATGAACGTTAGAATAACATTTCATAATTCCCAAACTGTTATCGTGGGTTTTGTGTCTTCTGTAATTCATTTACTACACCACTGATTACTGCATTCCACCAATGATGACATCCATGACATCGTTTAAGATAAAACGCATCCTGATGATATCAGGGTCGTTGCTAAGGCACTGCTGTTGTCGTCGYCGTTGTTGTTAGTCTGTCTCTCATGTCTCGTCGTGTTTCGGTTTCTAAGGTGACTGTACGTCGAACATTCAGCCCTCACACGGTTTCAGTTTTTGCTTATAACCGCACGATTTCCTTCTACTATTGACAGTTATTTATGTAATTTATAGATCAATCGATTAATGTACCCCAGGATGTGCGCTACTATTTGAAAAACCAACAAAGCACCGCATCGCACCCTGGTCGAGTGGATCTCGAGTATCCAACTTATGTCTAAAGAAATACTGTCGCCAAGGTCTCTTGGGTTCAAAAAATCTAAAATGATACTTTCATAAAATCTCACAAAACTTGTTCAGCGTAACACTCTAATTGCACCATAGAGAACCACTGGTGAGGGTAGTGCATAAATTAAAAACATTTTACTTGCATCCAAACTGAATCATAGTGTGCACAGTTTAAGGATTTAAGAGCTCTTAATAGCAGCGGAACTGCGAAATTATGTACAGCGGATTAACCTCAAGAACCAATTGAAACACTTATTTACACAGACGTCTACCATAAAAAGAACGTGACAGAATGCGCGCGTTAAAAGATTTTTAGGAGTTTATTAAAATAGCAATCGATGCACGTGCAGCTATGTGGACAAACTGGACGTATATTTACAGATACGTACGCGACGTCTTTGAAAAAAGATCACGGTCTTGTCCAGGAAGGTGTTGTCAAGACGCCGACARGAGAACGATTATCAGCAATAAAACCTGTGCGGTTTGCATTTGTTAGTCTATATTGCATACTTGTATTAATATATCTAAATTAAAACGTCTGCGTAAAAAGGGTATTCTGATAACCTTTACGCTACTAAACATTTTATAACTTATGATCAAGTGTTCGAATGACTAAAGAGTTTAGATGGTGACTTTGGAAACATGAATAACAGTCTACGGTGGTCACTGGACAACAGTGGTACAGTAGCATGGGGAAGGTTAAGATATCCTATTTATTAAAATCAAATATAAAAAACTATTCCGTTATGTAAARGACACAGAGATAAATTGTACATATTTGTACGTCTTCATACCAACGTATTGTATTACTTGAATTTCGCGAAACTCAATCTTCGTGAAAGGCTCCCAGGTCACGCTAACAAAACTAGATTCCTTTGTGATAAAGCAGATTGGTTATCATATGGAAGACACTAAAAGATTATTACGGGAAAACACAAGATTGACTAACGAGCGCAATGAGTTGTCTAGTGTGTTGGGTGAAGAAAAAGAAATGGTTCGATATCTTCATGGTGTGATCAAGAACTATGAACACCTTCTACGTTACAATAGCAGCCAACGACAAAACATAGTTTATCGAAACATGACAGAAGCAAAATTCGATCCCGATTCGATCTCGAATGAAAGCCAAGCAAAGGTTCCATCTAATCTTCACAAAACAATCAAAGACTCGTTGTTTGTGAGGCAAAGCAAAGATAAAGTAATGACAAGCCCGCGGTTGGAGTTTTCTTTAGAGGAACGTCATCAAGACATGCTTGGCTCACAGACTGTGAAAAGGGAGGTCAAGCAAAAAGCTTGTGTTGAAGATGATACGTGTTTAGAAGATCTTGAAATTCTGAGTGCTTCATCTACAGAAGAACCATCTCACAATAGTGTATTGCAGAGTGATGAGATGGACCGAAAACGTTGGAATGAAACTCAAAGAGTACCAAAACAGAACGAAAACCATTTGAAAACATTACAAACAGTCGATGGAATCTCGCGTGATGGACACCACAACTTCCCCGATAACTACCAAAGATTAAACAATCGCTCACGAACACGAACTAACAATGATAGACCATTCACTACTGGTAACACATCACGTCATCTTGAAACGTCCTTTGATGCTGAACTAGACGAACTGAACAAAGAACTTGATCGAATCGCTAGTAAATTAAGCAAGCATGAGAATTCACTCCTTCGTAGCGAGAAACAYTTGAGTAAAATGGAACATCGAATGGAATACTTGGAGAGTTTTGCGCTCGGCAAAGAATCAGAGTATTTATAAATGATTTGTGCTAGTTAATATGCTGTTTACGTGCTACCATAGATACAACTTTGCATTACATGCACCAAATCTTTTATCAAACGTGTGGTAGTTAACCCGTGAAGTGTTTTTGGGATCGAGGCGGAGTTAATTGTCTTATATGATATTGTAGCGATAGCATTCCTAATACATAAACACTAATGGTACGACCTGAGGACTGAATAAATGCAGTGATAAGCCATGTCTAACCACAATTTGAGCGAGGTTACTTTGATATTATACTGATGTACGATCTTAAATGGATAGATTTATGACTATACATAGACGAATAACTACTGTAAGAAGATTAGTTGGTTTGTGATTTTAAGTATATGTGCATGTACAGACAATATAGTTGCTGGCTACCAATACGACATACTCTAATATCACGTGATCTTACTAGTCAGCTTAATGTAGTAATCCTCCGATGGGCTGATCATGGACTCAAATCAACTTTAATTTTAYCATTTTTGCATTCCGTAATCAGCACTTTGATGTGCACAGCTCTTGAAACACTGAACAGACTAGGAACTGCAGCCATACCTACCGCATTCGYCGTAGAATTCTTTGTATATTTCAACGATTGTCGCGGATAACCTTTGCCGCAAAATTAGACAGACGCCCGAATAGAGATATTTGAAAATTCTGATAAACCGCAGTACAAAGGCAAGTTTGACAAGTCAAAAATTAGGAATGGATTAATGGAATAGGTGAATGGATGAATGGGATGGATGGATGAATGGGATGGATGGATTTTTTTTTATTGCGAATAAAATACTGGAAATATGCGTCAACTAGTTGATACTACTGCTACATGTACCATTGAAATCCTTATCTATCTAATGCCAAATATTCGCCCTTCAATATACACCCATAGTAATTAAACCTAAACTACTGCTGATTCAACTACTCCAGTTCCTCCAATTGTCTATTATAATAAACCAAGACACAAACACATAACCAAGCGCATAATGACCTCCATTTTCTCTTCAGTCTTTAATTCAATGCCGGATATCTTCGTTCAGGTCAGTATAAGTCATAAGGCTATATAAACGTATGTGGATAGCTGAGAAATACAAAACACGAAAAAGTACGGAGTGTTCCATAGGAATAGACGCACAATGTGAAGTTTTAATGTGAAGTTGTTGCAAGATGAAAAATATTTTACAAGCTTTTTTCAAAAGCGATGCWTGTAAGTCAGCGGTAATGTCGTTCGTATACAGACAACCAGTTCGAAACTTGGTGTTTGAAGATAAGAAATCAATCAGATAAAAGCAGCCGCAGCCAAACGCATATTTCCCACTTAAAGGCAATGAGCCTGCAATCAGAGATGCTGTGATAAATCAACCAATGAGATCAGCGCACTCTCTTCACATGCAGAAGTTGAACCAATCAGATAGTGATTRACGACCAACCAATGAGGCAGATGTTGTAATTAACCAATAGGAAACTACCAAGCCCGCTGCTTGACGCAATCATGGTCATAAACTTATCAAGTGTCAATAGGCAAACGATATTTTACCACAAGAAACAATATGATGGATCCAAAACAGTATGGTGTAGTAGCGTTGGCTRTGTCTTGTCAAATGGATGTCAATATTTTCTGATATTAGTGGCTGGCTGACGGTAATATAAGCAGTGTTTCATACCTGAATGTGGTGTGAATTATAATCGAGTATCATCATTAACATCACGTTGGCTTATCAGTTCTGCACTCCTGGTTATTTTCCCACAGTTACTGTTGTTCTGTTTGTTTGGTTTGAAMTGACCATTTGAACTATTGCGAAGACTTCGTTTTGTTTCATAGTTGTGTAACTTTCTTTTACACTCTCTTCGTACCTACAGACGGACGACATGATATTCATCAGGATTGTGATATTGATTAACTATTGTAACTTGTTTGAACTTACCTCAGAGCTTCCAATGCAGTAAAACAAAAAGATAAGAAGACCCTATAAAGTTAACAGAAAAAACATGAAGATCCAGTAAATGTTTTTTGGAAACTCATCATATATTCTGTATTACTAGCTTACTGAAAGTAAAAACGTATAATGAAGATGAAATAATAGGCATTATCGTATTCTATGTAAAATATCAATGTAACAAAATGATGCTCAATAAAGATCGCACACAAATAAAGAAATGATTAACTAGAATTAAATACTCTATTTCTCTTGRACAAACATGCGCGCTCAATMTTTTAAGAAAAAGAAATCTTTCTTGTCGTGCATATCCATATCGTACTACTAGAMGTGGTGGAGAACCCCTACAATAAATSTGTGTGCGATTACAGTACTTACTTGAGAGGAGTTAAAGATACAAAACAAGTACTCAAACACGAGGGTTTTATTGTTGATAGCCAAGACGCCAAAGAGCCACGTTAATCCCAGGATAGGTAGTAGCGTAATGCATGCTTTGATCAGTGATTTGCTGTACAAACAATGGAGAAAGAATAATTAACAGTGAAATAGAAAATTAGCCCTATTTGGCCCACATCATGTTAACTTACTTTGAGTTGTTTTGTGTTTCGTCTTTGATCATAACAGTAGCAGTAACTCTTAATACCAGAATAAGAATAACGAGGTTGACCTAA